TGTTGTTGGAAACAAACTAGATATTTTTCTAGTATATGTGGATGATCTAATCCTAACAAGAGAGTGTGAAGAAGAATTTCATCTAACAAAGAAGAATTTGTCAGTTCGATTCCAGATGAATGACTTGGATAACTCAACCATTTTCTAGGCTTGGAGGTTGATTGAAAGGAAGAAGGAATTTGTTTGCATCAGAAAAGATATTCTAAAGATCTGTTGAAGAAGTTTGGAATGTTGAATTCCAAACCAATATCAACACCATTGGACCCAAATGTTAAGATGTGTGCACACGAAAGAAACGACTTAGCATAACTGATGATGTATCGACAATTTTGAAGTAGTCTAATTTATTTAACTCACACTTGACCTGATATTTCTTTTGCAATTGCTGTGATGATTTGCTACCTGCACAACACAAAGAGGCACCATATGGAGTCTGTTCGGCGAACACTAAGATATGTGAAACGTACAATTGATTACAGTCTTTTGTATAAGAAAGGTGAAGAATGCAAGTTGGTCGGATACTGTGACTCTAACTATGCAGGGGATCATGATACCCGATGTTCAACAACTGGCTATGCGTTTAGGCTCAGAGATGGAGCAATTTCATTGTGGAGCAAAAGGCAACCAACTGTATCGCTATCAACAGCAGAAGCATAGTATACGACAGCAACCTTTGCAGCTCAAGAGAGTACGTGGCTTATGCAATTGATGAAGGATTTACACCAACCAGTTGGCTACTCAGTTACCTTGTACTGTTACAATTAGTCAGTGATTTACTTGGCTGAATATCCTATTTTTCATGCTAGGATGAAGCACGTGGAAATACATTACCACTTCATCAGGGAAAAAGTGTTGCAAGGAGAGATTGACTTGGAGCATATTAAAACTGAGCAACAAATTGCAGATGTATTCACAAAAGGCTTAAGTGTCCAAAAGTTTGAAAGCTTATAAAAACAACTAGGCATGGTTAAGACTAGAGTTGATGCCTACAGGGGATGTTAAAAGTTGTACAACATCATCCCCTATTGTTTAGTTTGACTAAGTCTGTAGTATGACTATATTTTAGGTTTAAATTTGTAGTTGTATTCTTTTAACTCGTGATAGTTTTCCTATTGTGTAGTATTGTTGAAATTGTGTTCCTAATGTTTAGATGAGTTGGTTAAGTGTAATAACATTAGTGGTTTAGTGGGAATATGATTCTATAACATGTAAACCTATATAAGGCTAGAAAGCCTATTGAATGATATCATCCGGTAATAATCTTTGCAACAGAATTTAGTTATCTTTTATTCTTCGTTTAATTTCCCTTTAAAACATTGGATTCTCTATCAAGTTTTATTCATTACAGTGTTCCTTCGTACAACACATCCTTGATAAGATATGGACCTTGCCAGTTTAGGGAAAACTTTCGCTTGGATTTTTTCTTGTACGGAAGAATGCATTTTAAGACATGTTGGCCTACTTCAAAATATCTTGGGTTCACCCTTTTTTGTTACGAGCCATACTTTTTTAATAAAGCTATCCAAAACAAATTCCCACCAATCTTTTTCTTAGATTAATGTCATTATTATAGTTGAGTTTTATCCCATTCAATTCCTCAATTTTATCTTCCACAATTCCGAGAGATTGAATTTCATCTTTTGATGGTGTTACCACCTTGGTTTCATACCGAGAAAGGGGTTTCACTAATCAAAATGTGTGTTGTAGGAAAATATCCCAAATCTGTGAAAGGTTCTTCCATATAATTTTCTGGAGCGATGAACCATCATTCTGAGGATTTTTTTGATGATTTTGTTGGCATCTTCCACGACTCTATTGGCTTTTGATCGGTATGGAGTAGAATTGTGATGCACAAGTTTGAATTGGTATATAGATTTGCAGTATTATATAAGATGATTGTTCTTGGGATACCAAAGGCAAATAATGTTAGAATGGAAAAAGTCCACAACTGCCTTCTAAGTAGATACCTCTAAAATTACTCCCTCCACACATGTAGGGAAGCAACAAAATTGATGTCCTTTTGAAGCTTTTGTCTCAATTTTCTGATGACATCCACTCCAAATGCAGCGAAGGGCCAAGAAGTGTCCATAGGGTGTAACTCTAAAGATGTGAATGAATTAAATTACCTTGACTCTGATGATGTTGGTTCACAAAATGAAAGCAATCCTATTCCATCGTAAGCCATCAATACCCTACTCGAATAAGTACTATCTTTTATATCAAGGAAATATCCATTCATGTGTGATCCACATATCTCAACATGTATTTCATTCATGATTTTCTCATTTTCTTCAACATGCACACATCTCAAAAAAATTAAATTTAGGGTTCATATATATAAAATTATCGCTAAAAAAATCACTAGCAAGGCAACTAATAATTCTTTTCTAGCTTCCATTAGCATGTTTTGGATGTCTTTTGTCTGCACGAAAGTGTTTTATGTCTAGGTACCATTGCTCACCATATGGTTCAACTTCAATTGTATTAGAACAGTAGTGTTGTTAACGAACACTATTTCCAAAGGAGTGATGCAATTGTTGCTAGGATATGGAAGCATTGCGGCCAAAGTAGTCAGGGCATAATTAAAATCATTATGAAACCTGGGAATATATCTAAAATTTATGAACCTAAATGATTTACTTATTTCATCCAAACACTGTTTGTATGGAAGAATCTTGAGGTATTTGGTTTTCCAGTCGCCTTGAGCTTGCCGAATAAGTAAATCGAAATCTACCATCACAATCAATTCTTTTACTTCCAGATCTATTTTCATATTAGACCCATGATCCATGCTTTGTCATTTGTTGTGTCACTTGTACATGAGAAACAAAGTCGAGCTTTTGCAGGATAGTGCTACACTGTGGGCGATATGAGAATCATCGCAGTTCTTATGCCTTTCGTATTAATGTTCCATAAAAGTATAATTCCCATCGTGAACAACTAATTTTTGGCGTATTTAATTGTATTTGTATTTGTATTTTTTTATTTGTTAATGTTATATTTTTACTGTCTTTATATATTAAAAATTGAATTGGCCCAAAGGGCTAAATTTTGATCGAATTGGGCTAATTTGAATACAATTATAACAAACTAATCAATTTTAAATGTAGTCCAATAACTATGACTCAACTTTTAATCTCCAGCATTCATATTTTTTTTGTCTGACCCTATCATAATACAAAACACCTCAAAAATAAGATTTTGGCCCTTGTACTTTTTAAATTTTTACTTTTTCCCCTTTTGTTATTACCAATCCGGCAGAAAGATCAAATACTAATCATCACTTTATTTTTAGACTTATGGAGTTGTGGTCATCTCCATTATATACTCCTTACATAAACGTGTTGAGCTATTCAATGATTGTTTTGATATATGATTCATGTCAAAACTTCATCGAACAATTTTATAGGCAAATTTTTTTGCGACCTCCATTTACCCCCAAAATCTGTATCAATCTTATGATTCTCTCATCCCGTTTCCAAATCTGTTACTATCACAATTTTTTATATCAATAGAAGTTAGTCCCGGATTATGACTATTTTGTTAGATTTCTTTTGAAAATTTAGTTTGCTAGTTTGTTTGAAATATATTATTTTTTAAAAAGATTTTATTTTGTCTTTTATTTATTTTATAATTTTGATCTTAAAAATATATTAGATGTTTAAATTTTGTGTCAATGACCTCATTTACTTTTTAATAATGGATTTTGGTTATTATAATCTAGTGGGTTCTACATAGTACGCCTATTTTTTAAGGGCAACATTCAGATATAGCAAATAAAAAATTCATATTTGTATGCTATAGCAAAGTTTGCATAATTGCGCTCCATAGCAAACATAGAAACTGTATAATTTGCTACACATATACAGTTGAAGCAAATTGTATAAAACAAGAAAGAGAAAGACTCTTGGGCAGAGAATTGTATAAAAATGAAGTGTATAAAATGAATTGTATTATTATAAGTGTATAGAACAATTATATACAATTTGAATTGGTATAAAATGAGAAAGAGAGAAAGACAAAAGAGACTTGACAAGGAATATACAATTGAATCGAATTGTATAAAACGAGAAAGAGAGAAATTAGATACAATTTGAAAATTCTATAAAACGAGAAAGAGAGAAAGACAAAAGAAACTAGCAGGGGAGTATTTTTATTGTATAATTATAAGTGTATAGGACGAAAATATATGTACTTGCATGTGTATATACAATTTTCTCACGCTTTATGCAAACAGAAACGCAATTTATACATTTCACTTCTGTTTATATAAGCGAGATTGGTGAGGGTGGCGAGCGAGATTTGGGAGAGTGGCGAGCGAGATCTAGAAGAGGGGAGAGAGAGGAACAAAAATATATGTATTTATACAATTTTCTCTGCTTTATACAATTAGAATTTTTTTAAACACTTGTGTTTGTATAAAAAGTGAGGAAGCGAGCGAGAGATTGGAGGAGAGTGGCTAGCGAGATATTTGGGAGAGAGGCGCCTGACAATTTTTGGTAAACGTTTGCTATGGAGCACAATTAAATCAAACCCTAGCTACTCCATTTATTTTAGGTTATTAGTTTGCTATAATATACAATTTTTCTTTTTTTTTTTTAATTTTTAGATGTTCCATGTAGCTTTTATTCAATTAATGAATAAAAGAAAATGAGACTCTCTAAAGGGAATTATAGTCTTTTTCAATAATCTTTTCTTGGAAGAAGAAAAAAAGAAAAATAATATAGTGGTCATCTTGGGTGATACATTAGCATGACAACATTGACTCTTAAGATTTAAATAAAGGCAGATCCTTCGTATTCTCCACCTATTTAAAAATCCTTCTTCTTTCAATTTACAAAGCTATCAAACCGCACTGACAATCTATCGACAATTGGTTTGGGGAATACCAACAATGCTTCTCTCGATGAGAATACCCACAAACACACCGAAAATCTAATACGCAAGAAAAAATCATTTTTCAGTCTACTCGAGTAGACATGTGTAGATAGAATACTTACCCCAATATCTCTAGTCGCCTCAGTTACATAATATCCAACTTTTGTCTTATGAGTCTCAGTCCACATTTTGCCTCGATAAATATTTTTCCATTTGCCTTGTGAATTTTTCTAATGGTAAAGCATTAATATAATGAATTTAAAACATATTGATGAAAGCACATCATATTAAACAACCATTTAATCTCTTCTTACCGCAAAACTCTTCATATCACCAGTATGAGGAGTTTGGTTCTGTCAAATCCATATATTGACCTCTTGCAAAGTTTCTACAGGTTAAAGAAGAACAATATGAGTAAAATTTAGGGAACAATTAACTTTAGGTTTCGAGTGTGTCCACTGAGTCGTCAAGATACTACAATTCTCTTTTTTTTCCTTCTAGTCTCAACAAAGGGAAATTAGAATGACCTTTCTTTTAAATATTTACACAATTTCAAACCATCCACAAATTATTGTATTATAGTGTTTTTCACAACATATGTTTTTACAAATTTGAATCCCATTTGTATCGCCAAATATTTCAACTCTAAGTATATGATGACAAAAACACTTTCCGATTCCAATTGTCCCTTGAAAGTCTTGTAATAAATATGTTTCATCATTAGTCATGAGAGTCTTGTTATTTACTTGCAACTTCAACTTCATCACCAATTTGATATATTGTTGTTTTTTTTCCCTTATGTGCTAGTTCTCTTATTTCATCCAAGATAAAAACAAATTCTTAATTGGTGGTTTTCCTCTCATATTGAAAAAGTGAGCAATTTTTAACACAATTGCCCTGTATGCAATTGTGTTCGGTCACAAATATAAACTCGAGTTTGGGAGCTATTGAGGTAAAAACAAGAGAAAGTTTAAGACATGGTGATATTGTGGATAAAAGAAATTTCTTTTGAAATCACCTTTGTTTATCGGAGAATTTTTGTTCTGAAAGATTCCTATGGCTTCTCTAGTGCATGCAAGATGAAACTCTGATAATTCTTGGAATTGTAGACGTTGTATAATTTAGGAAGAAGATACTATGGGACGTCTTTTTCGAATAAGATCACATGTTATTACAATTTAAATCCACTTAATCAGAGATATTGGAATTGTGGGCCCTATTCTCAACTTGAAGTAGTCCATAAGGTTGTGGTGGGCAGTGGAAGGCAATTATAGAGTGAAGGTAGTTTTCCAAGCTTTACTTAAACTATTTTATTGTTTCTGTTGAGGCAAATGAATACAATGATTCATGGAAGTTCCTTTTCAGAATTTGGAGTGCTATGGGGTATTAATAATACAATTTTAAATTCATTCTTGTTAGATTGAAAGAGAAATGTAGCAGCAACTCTTGGCCACTTATTCTTTGAGAATTGAAATAGTACAAACCTAAATTCTCTTATAGAATCTTTAGAGGAACCTTCATCCTCCTAATTTACGGAAGTGCAACATTGATTGGGCATCTAAAAAAATCATGGTCGTAGTTCAACAGTCTTTTGTATCAGAGATGGTTGGAATGTATGCGTCCACTTATTTTAGCTGGGATCTGGTCCCCGTAGCACCAATGTACAGTAAATAAAGAATAAAGACATAAAGTAAAAGAGATAATTACTTTTATATGGAAACCTCCTTGCTAAAGGGAGTAAAAACACGACCTGTTCTCAATAGGACTTTTCAACAACCACTTTCACTAATCTTCGATCAAGCAAAAGTAAAATCCGGTTACAAAACAACCAAACCCTATAGTCTCTTCACTAAGCAATACACCCTATTGTTAGCTGAGCACGAGCAAATACAACACTGCTCAGTAAGAACCTAAGTTACCCGTAACCCAAGCCCTTACAATGAAACACCCAAGGTTTGATAAGTTTTATCAAGTTCGAAATGAATCCTACAATTTGAGAACAATTACAAGCAAATATAAAAATAGCAAATAACAAGAAGAGCTGAAAGCCTTTTGATCAATATCTTTTTGTTTTGATGCTTGATGGTATTTTTGCCTTTTTGATGAATGAATGATATTGTTGTGATTTGTTTGATATATATAACCAAGATTTATTGTCCATCAAACAAAAAAACCTAGTCAGTTTTGATTTGAGAAGTACTCTACTCCTCACCAACCTCCCTGACGCAGACAACTTTTTACAGTTGTCAGTACTTTTCGCAGATGAGACTAGTTCTTCATACTCTGAAGAGGACCGTGTCCCTTCAATTGTGAGGAATCACAAAACATCTTGAGGAGAGTCTCCTATTTTGTAGTAGTTAAAGGTTTTAGATTTCTAATACAACCAACATAGTAGCGGAAGGTAGAGCTATAAAAGAGCGTCTTATTTACTATATTGACCATCAAATTGCTAATATCATTATTCAGATTGACTCTTAAGTTCTGGTGCACATTTTAGAGGAAGAGTGGAAAGTTTTATGGACTGTGGCGCAGGAGATTAGTATCATCAGGAGATTGAGAAGAGATATTTCGCAAGAGTAAACATCCCCTTATATAAGGAAATAGGTTCGTAGATTTTCTTACTAATTTAGTTTTATCTTTTATGGGTGAATTTTAGATTAACCAATTTCAAAAAATTCATAGCACAGAAAACAAAACACTTAATCTAGCTAAATATAATACACCATACATAAGGAGGCATCTACACAATTAACAGAGCAAATAGTGGTATGTGTATCATAGTCCATGATCCATTACTGATTACATGTAAGTTCAATCTTCTAAGGGAAAATTTACTATAATGATAAGCTAAAGTTTGATGTAAAATCAATGGAGTTGTGTATTTAAACATGGTAAGAGTTTGGGGTATCCATTAGTAAAAAATTTCAGTTTCAGCTAACATCAACATCAACAAGGTGAATCTATAGAAACCTACAAAAGGATGCAACATAAATTTTCTCAGATTGCATTGTGGTAGAATCATCCAAAGAATAGCTTAAATAATGGTATTAATCCTGAATGGGGTTCAATCAATTAAGACTTTGTAGGGAGATAAAACTATAATGAGATATAGCTGAAACATAGAGCCTTAATTTTGGTCATGCCATCTGTGGATAGTGGAACTGCACATTTTGAAGGCTAGAGTTAAGATTCACCGCAATAGTAGAACTTGTTTTAGATGATGAGTTACATTTACACCATCATATGCACTTACTAGTAGTAGATCTAACCGGGGGATTCACAAATCCCATGATGATTGGTTTCAGAGACTAACGAGGTAGAGTGATGTGATGAATAACTAACCTTTGAGTTTTGATTGGTTAAAATTAGTGTATACTTGAGTGATTCCATAATTATGCCATCTCCTAAAAACAACAAGAAGGTACGCATTAAAACTATTTTAGCATTCGAGGTCAAGAATCAAAGATCTCACTTTGATTATAAATAGAATTAAAGATCTCGCCTTCACTGTAGCTTGAATCACAACAATGGATGTGTATGAAGATTGGGATTTAGCGTATAAGGAAAAAGCTGGAAGCTTGCGACTGTTCGCTTTATCACTTTTCTAATATACTTCTTTTTTTTATTATTTTTATAGATATTTTGTACCATTTGCTTATGCTTCTATTTTTGGACCGGATCACTTTTGAGCTCGGTTATTTGTAAATATTCACTTTGTTTTTATGAATAAATGGTCCTCGCCCGATTTAAAAAATTACTTCTTTTTTGAAGTAAGTCAATTCAAATAGGATCTTAAATTAAGGTAGAAGATAAGATACCATCCACATTAATTAGGGTAACGTCTATCACTTATGTTTTTAATTTTTAATCACATTTATTGATTTAAAAAACATATATTCTTAAGGATTGGATTATGGTTCATATCCTCCTGTCAGAAATAAAGCGAACAGTTGGCCAAAATTGTGAAGCTAGAAAACAGATTTATGTCAAGCTGGTTTTAACTAGTATAAAATATGATTATTTTCAGAAAGTGCACATTTTATCTTAATTTTAAGGCTAGTATTATAAAAATTAATGCACATCAGGATCTCAAATACATTAATTGTCACGCCCCGAGCCTACATCATAGACGTGGCCGACACCCAATGACAATTATTGGCCTTGAGCGGACCCTTGGCTTGGTTTACTTAAATCAGCAGAAGACTTAAGACAATACAAGAAAACATTCTTATAAAGTTAAACAACTTTTCCAAAATGAAACTTAAGTCTCATAGAAAAACATTTGCAATAGAACAAGAAACTTAAAACTAAACTGTCTGACTGTCTACGAAGTCTCTATAATACTAAGATGAAAGTTTGAACAAACCCCACAACATCTTATGAAAGAAGACAGAAAGCAATAAATATGTGTCCTCTAGAATGCAAGCAGGTTCATGTAACATCTCATAACTAGTAATATCCAAGAATACGCTAAGAAACTAAATTTATCATTTTTGGATTGAATAGAAAAAGAAATCTGCAAAATTTCCTAAGTGTAAAAAGTGAGTATTGATCATTTTCAAATGGCCATAAAATCTAGATTAGGATGATTTAGAGTCAGTTCTTTATATGGTTGGGAATGCCCTGGAGATATCTTTCCAACACTGTTGAGTTTGCACATTTTTGATACTGTATAAGTGAGATATGCCTATCGGCAATTGAGCAGTTACATAGAGGAAGGTCCCAATCCAGATTTTAGTAAGGGTAAAGTGGTATTTTCACCTAACTAGTTTCTAATTAATTTTAAAGGTTTATTAGGGGTAAACTACGACTTAAGTCAGTTTTAGAAAAGTATTTACACTTGGGCTTGGGAGAAAAGAGAAGAGAAGAAGAAAAAGGGAAAAATGTTCAAGAATTCATTAATAACGCCAAGATCTTCGAGTGGAATTTGTCGGGGGTGATCCCTATTAAGGTATGTGGGATCTTTCTTGTTGGGTTAATTCACTCTCACACTATTTATTTCAGTTCAGCAATCTATGAGTTTATTTCATGATAGAAGTTAAGTTCTTGAGAAAAGTTTTGAGTTCTTGTTGATTGAATTTTTGGGTTCCTTTGTTGGTTGAGTTCTCGTTTCCCCGGATTATTTTTTAGTTGAATTCGGTGGGTTTGGAGAAGAAACACGAGTTGAAAAATTTGGTAGACGCATCTAGGAAGGGAAAGGCGCAGCACGTTTGCAGTCGCTAGAAACTGCCTCAGTCTACTGAGGCCTGGCGTGGTGCTCCACCTTTGCTGCAGAACCATGCCTAAGACAACTAGGTCTGGCGCGGCACACCACTAATGCACCTGGATAAGCATGTTTTGCCCTTTTTTCGTAGTCTAGACCTTCTAAGTCCTTATAAGGTATATTAACACCTCCCGATGCTTTTAATTAATCCAAGTGATTTCTAAACGCCTAAAAATCATCAACGAACACAAATAATAACCTTGGGTCCATAACCCATTCAAAGAAAGTTAATATCAAAGTCAAAGAAGTTAAGATTCAAGTGTAAAGTTAATAAGCTAGTCAAAAGTAAAGTTCTAAAAGGTTTTCAACGGCTTTTATTAAACGGCTTAACTTCGTCTTAAGGCTCAAGTTTCAAGTTAAAGTGAAGAGTAAAAGTTGAAGTCTTTTCTTCAAATTAAATATAAGGGAACTAAGTATTCCCTAAGAGTTGATTTAATATTTAAGTTCAAGTTAAACAAAGAGTAAAAAGTTAAAGTTCATTTATAAACAGTTATAAGGGAACTACATATTTCCTAAAAGTTTATAAGTTTTTTCACATTTTAGTTAAGAGGAAACTGAGATTTCCCAAAAGAATTTTAACAAGAAGCGGGAACATTGATTCCAAGAGGGCTTTTTTAAAGCTAAAGTGTTGAGAAAATTATCTCAATCCAAAGGAACGAAGTTATTTTAAAAACATGAGCTAAAGTATATTTTGGGAGTTGTAATGAACACCGACGTGGGGATGAAAGTTCATATTAAATCAAGTTTCCATGTAAAACATGTAGCCATCATGGGTATTAATGGGACATACTTTTTAGATAATCACGTAAGTTAGGCTAGTTGATCCACTAAGTTAAGGATTTTTATCCGACGAAAAAGTATATGAATGTTCTGGCAGCGTGGGCAAGATGTTGCATCACCACTTAGGCTTATAGTGGTTGTTTTCAGTTAGACAATCTCCCACAGAACTATACTACTTTCATATATAAGTAAAGTTGACTTAATCTCCCACAGAACTATACTACTTTCATATATAAGTAAAGTTGACTTAATCTCCCACAGAACTATACTACTTTCATATATAAGTAAAGTTGACTTTGTTATCGCATTTTATTTAATGAACCAAGTTGTTTTACTGTTTCACAAAGATTTATATATATCACATGTGTATTAAATTGCTTAATATACATAAATTGAGATGAGTATTCTTGAGTTTAGCAGGGCCAAAATAAGTTCATCTTATTCTTATCAAGCTTGAGTTGTCATTTAGCATTCCAACTCGCATACTTGTACAATCAATGTACTAATTCCAGTTGGCCTACATCGTCTTATGATGCAGATGCAGGTAACTAGGATCAGCATCCAACACCTCGTTGGTCCAGCTTGAGCACTCAGAATCAGTGCTTAGCCTCCTTGTATTCCCGAGGATCCTTGTTATTGGTTTCCATTCTTTTCATTACAGAATGTTGTGGGGTTTGTCCCAACATTCATCATAGTACGTTTAGAGCTTCATAGACAGATAGTCAGTCATTTAGTTCAGTTGAGTCTCTTTATTTAAAGATACTTTATTTTGAGACTTAAGCGCCATTTTGTCCAAGACAATCAATTTAACTTATTTGTGAGAATGTTCTTGCTTTATCATTGAGTAAGTCTTCCACTTAAGTTATTTGTGAGAATGTTCTTTCTTTATCATTGAGTAAGTCTTCCAGTTAGTTAAGTAAGCCAAGACAAGAGTTTGCTCAAGGTCAACAATGGTCATTGGATATCGCCTATTTCCATGGTGTAGACTCGGGGCGTGAAAAACTTGCTATCGGAGCATAGAGTTCAAGAGTCCTAAGAAGTCTATAAAGAGGTGTCTGTAGAGTCGTAGTCATCAGTGTGAAGAGCGCCACATCTATGACCAGGTGACTACAACATTTAGGAATTTCTCACTTCTTTCATCTTCTTTTTTCGTGTGTTAAAGTTTATCTCTATAAATTTTCCCTCTAATTCTTCCTTGCGTGTGTTTCAAATCATTATGCCTCTACAAAGAGAAGCTAGAGGTTTTCCAGCCAGAAGAAATGTAGAGGAGCAAGAGGTACCTAATGCACCCGTAGTGCAACCTCAAGGGGAAGTTACAAATGGTGAGTTCCGCGAGGATATCCGGATGCTTAGACAAGTAGTGACTATACAATTCGGTTAACAAAGGGGATCTGAACAATATTGGGGGGAAACTTTAACGATTCGAGAATTCTTGAGGATAAATCCCCCAAGCTTTTCTGTTTCAGGCAATACTGAAAATTCGAAAAAAACCTTATGGAAGAGTTGAGTAAGGTATTTGATGTGATGCATGTGGTTGATACATAAAGGGTTGAGCTAGTTGTATATCAATTGAAGAATATATATAGGACTTGGTTTGATTAGTGGAAGGAGGTAAGAGATGAGGATGCACCCCATCCGAGTTGGGCTTGTTTCGAAGAGTCTTTCTTGAGGCGTTTCTTTCCTCGAGATGTGAAGGAGTCAAAGGTTAAAGAATTCCTTACTCTAAAATATGTCTCCTTGAGTGTTCATGAGTATGGGATAAAAATCACCAAAGTATCTCGATATGCTCCTGAGATGGTTAAAGATATGAGGAGCAAAATGAGTTTATTTGTCGCTTGTTTGGGTCATGCACCTAGTAAAGAGGGAAGAGCAACAATGCTGATCAGTGACATGGAAATATCTCGATTGATAGTTCATATGAAGCAAGTTTAAGAGGAGAAGCTGAGAAATAGAGAGGAGTATAGGAACAAGAAACCCAAGGCTGGGTACGAGTTTGGGTAGCGGAAATGTGGTTTGAATCGGCTAGAGTTTTAGAGAAAAAAAAAGGGCTTGCACCATTGTTTTTTTGTGCTCCTGCACCCATAAACATAGGTAAGCATCATGGCCAGAATTTGGAGAACTACAGAGATAGGCCAACACAGTCTCAAGCAAGCGTGGCACAGGGAGGTAGTTGGGCTCCTGCATGTTCTAAGTGTGGTAGAACCCACTCCGATAAACGTCATGATAGCCAGAATAGGTTTCTTCAACTGTGGTCAAGAGGGTCACTTTATGAGATAGTGCCCTAAGAACATGCAAAGTAGTGGACATCCATGTTGGAATTCTCACTCTTCATCATTTGCTCCACTAGATAGGGCTGCACCTAGAGGATCCAATATGCGCGGAGGGGCGAAACGCCTCTATGTAATCACTAGCCATCAAGATCAAGAGAACTTGCCACAAGTTATAACAGTTACAATCAATGTTTTTACTTTTGATGTTTATGATTTGTTAGAC